GATGAAATCAGTCCTGCAATCTATTTCAACGTACATTATGAGTATCTTTATCATTTCAGATGGGGGTGGTAAACAATATTGAGAAGATGTTGAATTCTTTCTGGTGGGATGATGGTAATAATAATAGGGGAATCAGGTGGATGTCATTGGAGAAGTTAGCTTATACTAAGAATGAGGGAAGATTAGAACTCTAAGATTTTAGAGCTTTTAACTTGGCTATGGTGGCCAAACATGGTTGGTATCTACTGAAAAAACCTCAAACTCTTGTATCCAGAATCTTTAAAGCAAGGTATTGTAACACCCTTCTAAACCCCAAGGAATATTCAATTAAATAAATCAGAGTATTTCACCAAAAGGGTGTCACATGCTTCATAAACAACATACATGCATGTCTTACTCCGTAACACATGTTTTTAAAATCATTTATGACATATGCTTCATTAAATAACAACCACAATACTCAACTTACTCGCAGTGGAATTCATAGATCAAAACATCATTATTAAAAAACATCATAGAAACTTCATCGTTCAAGGTTCATAATTCAAAACAACTTAACTCCATGAAAGACAGTTCAAAAATCTCATAATAAAACAAAGAACATAATAGTTTCAAATTAAAAGTTCTCGTCCCTGATGTTACATATCAAAGCAAGAACTTCTAGACTCAACGAAATTAAAGGACACACTCCAAAGCTATTCTTCTAGGCATTTAAGAACTACTCCTAATCACCTACACGTTACCCATATAGAGACAACATTCAAGCAGAAAGAGTAAGTAAATCATAATCATTATATAAGACATAAGGAATAGACATAGTAGAATAAGCCAACAATATCATAACATCAAATCAACAACATCATCATTTAATACAACAACATAATACAACATCATCAAAATCAACAACTATGAAATGCCATATAAGATGTAGTGCAAGAACATAGACGCATGCATGTGGTACCATATCTTTCGATGGGCACTAGGCCATCACCCTCCAAAGATCCCCACCATAGGATCGATCCCCTGTTGGAACCGGATCACAACATCAACACCCTAAATCCACACAATAGGATTGATACCAACACTAGACCAAAGTCCTAAATCAACATGGGCGGACCAAAGTTGTCCAAACTATGCCATGAATGCATGATGCCCAACAACAATTATAAAACGACCACGACTAGTCATACGCATCATCATTCATGAAGTAATCAACATCATCATATCACCTTAATAAGCATAACATCATTATAAAAATCTCATATAAACAGGACGGTATCACACATCATCATATCATCATAATAAACAAACATCATCATGATAAACAAATCATCATTGCAATTCGACGCGGGGAACCTATTTCTATTCTAACTTAGGTATTGGAAAAATGATCCTAAGTTATAATTTCATTTCATCTAACTAAGGTTCATTGTGTTGGTTATACACTGCTTCGAACGACACCTCAAATCGAGCTCTAGAACTAAAGTTATGACCTTTTTAAGAAATTCAATTCAGCCAACCAAGTATGCCATCCGTCGCCCAACGTCATACTTTTGTCTCCTGGAGACGCTATCTTCGCATCACATTTTTCCCGGTGACACTAGGGGTGACGCATTACAAAAGCGTCCTCTTTTCTGCCTCCCTTCGCCCTCACTTTCACCTGGCGATGCATCTTCGCCCGACGACACAACCTTCGTCGCCCGGCGACGCAGCGCGAACAGAGTTTTCCTGTTGCGATTTCTACACTGGACCAGTCCAATTCTTCCACGATTTTGTCATATTACAGGTCATAAAACATCATCTAATCATAGGATTTCATCATCTATCAATATCCTATGACACTGCATCAATTATACATCAATTACAGGGCCTTATTCATCACCAATTCATCAATTCTTCATCAACCAACACCAAATCCTCATCTATCAAAACCTAAGAAAATCCTACAACTATCTAAGCCTTAGATCAAATATAATAATCAAATAAACACTCTTTACCTTAGATTATTGTAGCAATCAACTTTATCTTTGTGTTCTTATGGAATCCCTCTGTGCTCTTGTGCCCTATCATCTTTTCTCCACATCGTCAATTTTCTCCCAATTTCACGATCGTACAAAATAATACTCTCTTCCCTTTGTTTATAAAAAAAGACCCTTAATATATGACCATCTTGTCCTCACTTAGCATTCTATTAATTACCATCATGCCCCTAATCTTTCTACCTCATAGTATTCTAATTAAAATAATCATTTAAATAATTATTCTAATTATTTTATTCTTAATAATAATCTAAATAATTACTAAATAATTATCTAAATTATTCTAATATGTCTAATCACCTCAATTCACTTCATATTATCCCACATCGTATACAACAATATACCAACACATCACACACATCATACTAAACAAAACATCACATATTCATCAATAATCGATAAATGCTTCTAATATTTCATCAAATAATCAATTCTAAATGTTGAGGTGTTACATGTACCGCACTAGAACATCTTTCTTTGAAGCTAATCTGGGTAATAATCTGAGTTTTGTCTGGAGAAACCTTTGGCAAGCTAAGAAAATTTTAACGCTTGGTTGTAGGTGGAGTATTAGAGATGGGAGTAACATTATGGTGATGAGTGCATCTTGGTTTCGAGGCAAAGTAGAAGGTTGCTTAAGTGGACCTCAAAGACAAGGTGTGTATGATATTATTGTTCAAAACCTTTCATTGTCAAATGTTAAATAACGGGATGTTCATGTGATAAGAGATTTGTTTGATCATGTAGTGGTTAAGGACATCCTTCAGGTCCCATTAGTTGATGATGTTGTAGAATATAAGTGGACTTGGAAAGAGGAGTAAAATGGAGGATATAGCGTGCGAACTGGATATAGACTGGGGAAGAAGGCCCAAGAGAATAATAAGAATAGAAGTGGATGAGGATTGGAGTAACCTTTGGAATATTATGGTGCCTCCTAGAGTTAAACATCTTTTGTAGAGAATCTGTAGGAGCTGTTTATCGACTCGCTTGAGGTTTTGTCAACATTGTGTTCAATGCCCGTTAGCCTGTCAACTTTGTGAGAATGTTATAGAAGATGATTGGCGTGTTTTTCTTGGATGTTTTGCTACTAATCACTGTTGGTCGGCAGCAGATTTGTCGAATATTATTGATCCCGTTTACAATCCTTTAATGATGCTAAGTCTTTGATCCTTGATATTTGTAGTCATGAGGATATGAAGACTGTGAGGAGAGTTGTGGTTATGTTAGATGTGATTTGGAAGAATAGAAATAATCTGATATGGAATGAGCAAGAAGAGACATCTAAACTAAAACATGCAGGCTTTTTGTAATTGGAACGATTGGTTTACAACTCAAGAGGATTATGAAAGCATTCATGCCAAATAACCCCTAGAAACTTGGATTCCACCTAACAAAGGGAGGTTGAAGTGCAACATAGACGTGAGTTTTAATAAAACGGTGGTACTACGAATATGGGTTGGTGTGTGAGAGATTACTTGGGAAGATTTATTTATGTTGGTGTAGCATGGGAATTTAGTATCTGCTCCATTCTAGAAGCGGAAGCCTTAGCACTCAAAAAGGAAATTCATGGAACTATAGCAATGCAATTGGAGAATATCATCTTCGAAAGTGACTCTCAAAAAGTGATTTAAGCAATCTGTTCCAATCACAGTGATATTTCTGAATTTAGCTTAACCATTATGTCCATCCAGAGTTTGTTACAGTTTTATTCCAACTCTGAGATAAAGTTTGTTAATCGCCAAGCGAATATAGTTGCCCACTCATTAGCGAAGATCGTCGATTCTTAGTCTAGGCGTAGTGTTATTAATTTGATTCATCTTTATATTGAATAATATTTGATTAACTAAATGCGTTAAATTTGCTTTTGTAAAAAAATTGTATAAAAATAATAGAGAGAATGATATTAATACTATAATATCTCTTACCATGTATTAAGAATGACGAAATTTTTATTAATTAAAAAATAAAAATAAAAAATATGTATTAAAAATTAAAATAAATTATTAATTCTAAGACACTATTTTATTTCAAATAGATAATAGATAATTCGTTTTGAAAACGGAGGGAGAAAATAGGAAATAGTTGATAGAATTTACATTTAAAATTCTTCATCTTCTATCTCATATAATTTTGAGGTTCTCTAAATTATTTATTTGTAATAAGTTGGACGGTTAATTTTTTTTACAACTTGTTCATTAAAGTTATTAAATATGTACATTATTATTCTTTTTTAACCAAAAAAAAACTAATTATTGATAAAATTATTTTAAATAATATAAAAATAATAAAATACAATCAGAAATACAATAACCAATATTTCTAAATATTTAAAATAATTTAAAAAAATAGAAATCACTATAATGAATCAAATTGTTAAAAAAAAATTAAAAACCAACCTATTAAAAAAAATAACTTAAAATTTTTTAAAAACCTAGGGTAATTTTCCCTATAATTATGAACACAAACCTTAAATATGCATAATAAACAACAATAATAAATTGAAAATTCCAAACAAATTATATTTATTAAATACTTCACAATATTCTCAAGTCACTTCATAAAGATTCATCTATATCTATGAATCAAATCTTCCAAACTTTATTTCTTCTCTAGCATCCCATTATTTCTAATTACACACCATTAGTGAAATAAATTCATTTATAAAATAAAAAAAAACTTAAAAACAACACCTATTTTAGCTTCAACATATTTTCTTTTTTATTTTCCATTTCCATTTATCAATATCATCATTATTACTTACCCATCCTATTACTAGTCACGTGGAAAGTGAAAAAGCAAGAAAATCACTTTTATAGAAACTCATTAATATCAGTGGAGTCAACCAACCACCCAATCACTCCGTAAACATTTACCCAACCTCATCAAACCAACGTTGACCGAACAAACCGAACATCATTAACTTTACCAAAACACCTTTCTAACTTTTCTTTTTCTTTCACTCTACTACACTTCTGTAACATACTGCATAAACTCCATGTCATTTTCAAGTCCAGCCATAGTCTTAGGTGCCAAAACAACTTCAAGATCAACACTTCCATTTTCATCTCTCCCCGGAAAAGCAGAAATTTTCCCATCAAATTTATTCGTCTTTCCACTCCGAATCGCTAAAGGCTTCCCCCAACCAAAATCATTATCATACATAGGAAAACGAGGTGAACTTCCCATAGTTATCATAGCTCCATCGAAATTCCCAAGCGGAAACAACCTAGGATTACTCTCCCAATCCTCTATTCCGCGGCGCACCGTAGCGTCATCGTATACGACGACGTTTTTATGTAGAAGCTCAGCGCAGAATTTTAGATCGTTCGATATAATATCTTTCACCGAAGCAACAGTTGGGATGCTCTGTATCGCGTTACCGAAATAAAACGCGTCCATTTTTGGGTTTAACCTGTGACGACAATTCACAGCCATACGAAACGTCGACGTTTTGGATAAATCTAGTTTCCGCGCACGTGTCACTGATCGCCATAGTTGTGCACTTAACGACTGAAACGACGAGATCTCGTTTCTGTAGTTTGTTTTTCCGTTAAGAGTTCCGTTAACTGTTGCGTTTCCGTTTACGGTTCCGTTTCCGTTTACGGTTTCGTTTCTGTGAACGTGACCGTTAGAGTTAACGTTTTTCCAACCGTCGTTTGCTTGCTTTCCAATAAATTCAGTTGGATCTGTTAAACCGTTACTGTTATTGTTTGCTTTGTTTTTGAGTTTGAGAATGGATTCACGAGAGAAATGGAAGACGCGTTCACGGATGGGCTCGTCGACGTCAAAAGTGACGGCGGGGCCGCCTGTGGGTATAGGGAGGACGGCGGTGGAGTTGAAGACTGTGTCGCGGGTGAAATCAGGTGATTTAGAGATCTTGACAGCGGCGGTAGTGGATTTTGTGACGGCGGCGAATGTGTTGAAGAAGTGCCAGAAGGAAGTTCCGTCGGTTACGGAATGGTTGATCGTGCAACCGATGAAAACACCGTCGGCGAGTTCGGTGACTTGGATGGCGGCGAGGGGGGTGTTATGGCCGGAGTAAGAGACCGGTAAGTCGTAAGCGAAAAACTCCTTGAAACAGGGATGGACGTCTATGAGAGAAGGTGAGAGGACGGTGTTTAGTGTGAGGTGTTTGGCTTTTGCGTGAACGAAATCGACGCCGGCGTCGTTGGAGGTGATGTAAATGTAACCGTCGGAGTCGGTGGTGAGTCGGCCGGCGAGGGGAGGGAAGTGGGAGAGAGTGATGGATAGAGAGTTTTTGAGGGTGTGGATTAGGTTTTCAGAGGAATATGGGGGTGCGGAAAGTAGAATTCCCTTTTGGATGTAGTGGCATGAGAGCATGGGAAGATCAGAGACAGAGAGTTTTAAGGGTTTTATGGAGGATTTTTGGTTTGGGTAGATAATGCATTTTGAAACTGTGGTTGTGGAAGATGAAGGCATTTTTTCTTTCTATGGTGTTTGATTTCGTTTGTTTTGGTATTGAATGTTGCTCAAATCAGAGGCTGGAGTGGGTTTTTATAAGGGAACATGAAAATAAATATTTTATTTTTAAAACATTAAAAACTATTTTCAATTCTCCTCCCAAAGAATTTCACAATTGGTTTATTTTCAAAAAAGAAAATATTAAAAATGATAAAATTAAGAGAAAAAAAGAAAATATAATAACTTACACTATAATAAATTTTATTTTTAATTTTGAAAATTTGAAATCACATAACAAATATAAAAATTTTGATTAATTATATTCATAAAATTGTTTTACATTAACCGTGTATTATTTTTAAATTATATTAATTATTTATATTTTTAATTGAGATAATAGATATATTAATTTTATACCATTAACAAAGGATGATTGCGAATTCTGGCAAGTCAAACAATTTCTTTTACATTTATAGTGTTACATAAAAGAATTATGAATTTCTATTGAACTACAAAACTATTTTACACTTAGTGCATGTTTTTTTTTATAAAAAGAAATAGAGAAAAATATATTATAAATCAAAAGAGGAATACAAGAGACACAAAGGGACCCAACCAAGATTCTTTAGGGTTATGTTTGGAATTGGAAGTTTGGAAAGAAATGGAGAGAAGACTTTGAAAAATAGAAAAAATTGTACGTAAAGAGTAAAAAGATTTTATTTAGGTGAATTTTAAAGGGTTTTTTTTTTTCCTTCTTTTTATAACACTAAAAATCCTTTAATTTTTTAGAACAATTCAAAATTTTATTTGGAGGAGAGTTTTGGAGAGTTTTAAAAAGTTTAATCAATTTATTTAAATATAATTTTTATTGTTATAATATTTTAAAAACTAAAAATATATTAATAATAAATATTATTTTATTATTTTAATAAAATCTTTTTTTCAAAAAATATTATATAATTTTTAAAAATTATTTTTGAAAGTCTTCCCTTCTCATTTTTTCCAAACTCCCAAACATTGCTTAAACCTAAGAATTCCAATCTTATCTAAGAGTTATGCATATTACTAAACTCTTTTTAGTTTAAAAAATATATATACAAAAAGGGTAAAACAATATTTAATTATAAAACCAATCAAAATCTTATGTTTATCACGTTATATTAATATTTAAAAATGAAATCGTGATTTGACATGCATATGTTTTTTATTAATTGAAAATGTAAACGTATTTTACTTATAGCATTTTTTAGTGTAATTTATTTCTCGTAATATCTCGGGGACTGCGGATTCGTCGATGCACTTCAAGAGTGGGATAGAAAACCCCCTGCGATCTAGTTTGTGTTCGAGTATCATGTAGGAGCATGCTCGCCATTTGGTTGCGGCTGCTTCTCTTTGGTCTAGGGGAGTTCCCCATTTGTTAGAAAGTTGAACATCGGGATCATCTAGGATGAGGTGTCTCTGATGGCGTTTACCTCAGGTGGAGTCGTAGACTTCTCGATGCTCGGGCGAGATAGAGACTCTTGTATAACGGATTTATTTTCGCCTTTCTTTCTCGTGCTTGCGAGCTTCGAAAGTATGTCGGCCCTTATGTTTTGCTCGCGTGGTACGTGCGAAATTTCTGCTCGATCAAATTTTTTCATGTGCTCTCTGACTAAGTTCAGATACTCGATGAGGTTGTTGTTTTTGGCCTTGTATTCCCCTTGAACTTGGGATGCGACGAGCTGAGAGTCGATGCAAATTTGTACTTCACGGGCACCTAAATCCTTGGCCAGTGTTAGACTCGCGAGTAGGGCCTCGTATTCCGCCTGGTTGTTAGAGGTCGGGAAGGAGAGGGTGAGCGAATGCTCGACCACCACACCTTCCTCGTTCTCTAGGAGGATTCCTGCGCCGCTCCCAGTCGAGCTGGATGCTCCGTCGACGAAGATGATCCACCTGTGCTCTTTCCCTACCGGGGGGGGGGGGGGTGAGCGGTCATTTCAGCGACGAAATCGGCCAAAGCTTGTGCCTTCAGGGCTTTCCTACTCTCGTATTGGATGTCGAACTCAGAAAGTTCCAAGGACCACTTCAACATTCGACCCTCCATGTCTGGTCGACCCAGGAGCTGTTTCACAGGCTGGTCTGTTCGCACCATGATCGTGTGTACGAGGAAGTAGTGTCTGAGCCTTCTCGCTGCGTTGACGAGGGCCAGAGCTACCTTTTCTATCTATTGGTATCTAACCTCGGGCCCCTGAAGCGCCTTGCTCGTGAAATAAACGGGTTTCTGTCCGTCGCGCGTCTCACGAATGAGGGCTGCGCTGATGGCTTTGACCGAGACGACCAAGTAGAGGAACAAAGGTTCCCCGTCGACTGATCGTGATAACACGGGCAGCTGAGAGAGGCTTTGTTTAAGATGGAGCAGCGCCTGCTCGCATTCCTCGGTCCATTCGAAGGCCGCTTCCTTGCGAAGAAGCTTGAAGAAAGGAAGGGCGTGTTGAGCCGATTTTGCAACGAAATGGGATAGCGAGGTACGCATGCCATTCAGGACTTGTATGGATTATTTCTAGGTAGGTGTGGGGAGGTCGGAGAAAGCCTGACACTTGTCGGGGTTGGCTTCGATTCCTTGTTCTGTTAAGTAGAAGTCGAGGAACTCGCCTGCCTTGACCCCGAATGTGCACTTCTCGGGGTTAAATCTCATTCTGCATTGCCTTGCTTGCGCAAAGACTTCCCTGAGATGAGCGACATGGTCGATGTCTGCTCGGAACTTGACGATCATGTCGTCCATGTACACCTCGAGCATGTCCCCGATTTGGTTGCAGAAGACTTTGTTCATCATCCGCTGATATGACGCCCCTGTATTTTTCAGACCGAAGGGTATTATGTTGTAGTAATAGTTGCCCGAGCTAGTCATGAAAGCGGTGCAGTGCTTGTCTCTTATTGGCATTGGGATTTGGTTATAGCCCGAATAGGCGTCCATAAACGATAGTATTTTATAACCGGCCGAGTTGTCGACCAGCATATCAATATTAGGTAAAGGAAATGCATCTTTCGGGCATGCCCGGTTAAGATCAGTGTAGTCAACGCACATTCGCCATTTTCCATTATTTTTCTTGACAAGTACAACATTTGACAGCCAGGTTGAATATCGGGCTTCAGAAATAAAATTTGTCTCTAAGAGGTCTTTTACAGCTTTTTCAGCAGCCTCTGTTTTCTCCAGAGACTGCCTACGTCTACGTTGCACTATTGCCCTAGCGGCTGGATCGATGGCGAGTTGATGACAGGCGGCCTCAGGGTCGAGTTCGGGCATCTCCACAGTGCTCCACGCGAACAAATCTGCATTCTCTCACAAGCAAGCCTTGATTTGCTTCCTCGCCAAGTCGGGAAGTTCGGTGCCAATCTTTACTCCTCTGCTTGGGTCTTCACCGAGGGGAACAAGTTCGAAGTCCCCGTCCGGAATTGGTCGAAGGGGGACTTGCTCGCCACTGGGAGGCTCATCCTGGTCAAAGCGAGTGTCCAGGGATATCGAGTCGACCTTTGTAGGGGCTCTCTGTTTTTCCTCTTTGACGGGCTCTGACCGCTGAGGTTTTGTTCGCGTAGTTGTAACTCTCTTGGCGGGCCTTATGCTGGTGTCGACCGTGTCGTGTCCCTTGGATACCGCATTAAAACACCTTCGGGCAACTGCTAGGTCTCCTTAGATAGTGGCGACCCGTGCCCTCTTGGTGTAGAACTTCATTTTTAAATGGACGGTGGAGGGCACCGCAGTCAGCTCTTCCAGTGTCGGCCTTCCCAGAATGCAGTTGTAGAGGGAGGGGCAATCAATGACGAGGAACCGCACCTTGACTTGCCTCGTAGCCGTATCCTCGTCGAACGTAACCATGAGCTCGACATATCCCCAAGGCTTGGAGGTTGAGCCGTTAAAGTCCTGCAGGTCCAACCACACATAAGGTGAGAGGTGAGAGTCGTCGAGCTGCAGGGTTCGGAACAGCTGGCTGTACATCACGTCGACGGAACTTCCCTCGTCGACAAGGATGCGATGTACGTCAAAGTTGGCCATTCTCACCCTTATCAGCAGAGGGATGGCCGAATTAGGGGCCCCTCTGGGGAGCTCCTCGAGGTAGAAGGTGATTGGCTCTGACCTGCCTCTCACTTTTTCAAAGGTCACCGTTTGAGGGGGGGCCGTGTCGACCAACTCATCCAGCTTCCTCTTAGATGAATTTATGGTCAAATCATTGAACCCTCCACCATTGATGACCATGACGGAGGGGAAGTGTTCCCACCTGCTGTGCGTAGACATAGGTTCTTGCAAGTGTTCGGGGACGTAGAAGTTCTTGGGTCTTGTGAAGGAGAATGCGGTTTGGATGGGAACCGACTTGTCAGATGGTCGGACATTCTCTTCTGCTTCCCTCGTCTCACGGGCATCCCGACGAGGAGCGACGTTTCGTCGGTACTGTGCGAGTCTTCCCCCTTTTATGAGGGTCTTGATGGCGTCCTTGAGGTGGATGCAGTCTTCGGTCAGGTGCCCGTGGCTCCGGTGGTACTCGAAGTATTTGCTTTGGTCCACCCCGGGTTTGGCACGAGCTGGACGGGGACGTTTGACGCCGCCATCCTTAAAATCTGTAGCCGTGCACTCCGCTAAGATGCGCTCGCGGTAAGCTGTGAGCGGAGTGTATTCTGTGAATCATCCCGAGGGTCCTCTTTGCTCCCGGGCGTCCCGGGGTTTATCGTCCCTTCTCTTTTCCCCGGTTCGTCGAGGAGGGGCGGTGTCTTGTCGCGGATTGCTGCTGGATCCGTGGTTTCTGGGGTCTCGGGCTTTGTTGGCCGCTTCTCTTTCCTCGTAGTCCATGTAGGCTCTGGCCTTCTCGAGGAGGGCATCAAACATTCGGGGTGGTTCGATGCCCACGGCTTTTCTGAATTCGGTGCTGGGGAGGAGTCTGCTCTCCAGCAGGTATCTCTTCATATGGTCCGTGCAGGAGACCTGAATGGCTTCCCAGTTGAAGCGGTTGATAAATTCTCTCAAGGTCTCATCGTGCTTCTGGACGATG